AATTAGAGGAGGAGAAACAAGTTCACAGTAGCAAATAGTGACAGTTAACCATGTGAAAGCACAACAGAAGAAACTGGAAGGCAAACACAGGAATCTGAAAAGCAAAGCAGCCTGGGACTCACTAATATAAAAACAGATGATTAAATCTGTCATCTGTGCAGCCCATGAACTGAGAGTACCAGGAGAGGATGGAAGAAAAAGTATTCAAAGAATGGAAAAAAATTCCCCAAATTTATTGAAAAACAATAACCTAATCTTTCAGAAAGCTCAATGAACTTCAAGCATAAATATAGAGCCATGAATAGACACATAGTAATAATGCTGAAACTCAAACACAAGAAGAAATCTTGAAAAAAACCCAGAGGAAAACAAAATGTCATTTATGAGAGACACACATACCAAAAAACTCCAGTAAGATTATCAGCTGAGATGTTCTCATGAGGAACAATGGGAACCAGAGGTAGTGGGAAAACATTCAAAGTGCTCAAAGAAAAATACCATCAACCAAGACTCCTATATCCAGCAAAGATACCTTGAAAGAATTGAAGCAAAATACTTTCTCAGATAAACAGAGAACTTGTTGCTAGCCAACTTATCTTACAATAAATACCGTAGGAAGTTCTTCAGGGTGAAAGCAAGTGATCCCAGACCATAATTTGAATTCACAAGAAAATACACCAGTAAACTATAAATGTGTATTTTCTAAATTTAAAAAGCAATTTTATATGTATACAATGTATTATTGACCCTGCAACACAGAAATGTAGTAGGTGTTAATATACTCACCAACTGTACAAATGAGGGGAATGTGAGCAAAGCTGTAATGGGCTGAGACCATCACTAGTTTATAAAGTAATGAAGTTTAGAACAATGCAGGGATGGGTTTGTAATATTAACAGATGTGTTACATAGGAATTGCCTGAAAAACAGATGGGCACTCAATGAGAGTAGATTGTTTCAGGTATTATACGACGTTATATTCCCTCCCCACTAAACTCAGTATCAACCAAATAGAAAGAATCCTTCTCTTTTGGCTACTCATTTGCTGCACTGAGAGCCAGGCTAAAAACAAGTTATTTCTCCTTTGCCTATACTGGGATCTTAAAATTTCAATTTCAGAAGCCTACTTAAGAAGAGCTAGTTTGGGACAGTGTAAGAACCATTTTTAAAAATATAATTAAAAAAACAACAGCAACATCATAGATACCTAAGGAAAGGAAAAATTCACCCAGAGTTCTATTTCCTTAACATGATTTCTCATTATACTTACTCCCTTCTGGTTTTACTCCATAGGCATTCACATTTTATTTTATGGAGGTATAATCATTAATGCTTTCAGTTGACATTGTATTGGATATTTTAGCAAGTTTAATTATTTTTGATAGTATCACATGTATTCAGGGATATATAAGCTATTTTCTAGTGGCCCTCTCCCATCCGCCCATTCTGTTTTCTACTGGACTTGAGAGGGCTTGGAGGCCAGACTTCCAGATTCTAAAGAGCTTAAAAAAAAGAAGGCAAACTATCAGGCCAGACTTTGGTGAATTGAGATGGCTGCTGTCCTTATTGAAGTTTTCAACTTGTATTCACATAATTTGAAATTCACTACTTAAATTCAAATACAAGTTTAAGATTTATGTAAAAATACAAATTAGTTTTGACTTTTGAATATGAATCACCGTAATTTGCAGGTAATTTGGAAGAGCACATTCAAATTTTTAAAATTCAGATGCCCCTAGGTCTACAAACCTACTTTGTACCCTTCTGACTACCTCAATGCAACACACTGCCTTAAGCAGTTTTGGGAAAAATCCATTCAACTGATTTTGAATTAAGGTGTATAACCCCTGAAACATGCATTAAACCAGCAGGTACAAAATATCACAATTTAAAAAACAGCATTTCCCCATTTTTCTAATATAATTTCCTAACACAATTTCACTTAAGGTATACTAAATCTTTCCAGCAGTGTTATGGAATTGTACTATGGAAGTTCAGTGTATGCCTAGAAGAGGAAATAAAGACATAAGTAATTTCAGGCCCATTTTGCTTCAACTGAAAGCAGTTGTGTTTAGCTCACTGCCATTTGTATAGACTCTAGGCTTTCTTAACTCAAACTCTTAATGACTTAGTTCCATAACAGCATTATTTGCTTCCTCTCTTACCATTACTCATTCAAACTATTCAGACACATAATCCATCTAAAGATGTAGTGAGTAGATAAAATGTCTTCTCTCCCATTTTGCAAATTACTCAAAAGCACAACCCAAGTATCATATGCAGTGTTTTTTTGGTTACAGGCATTCAGGGTGCAGTTGTTAGAATGCAACATGGTACCATGGTATTGAAAATATTGTTTCTTTTAAACCAAAGCAACAATATAAAAGCCATCTACCACCAATTACTAACTACTTTGAAACTTTCTTCAACATAATTGCTTATCTTTGGCACTTTGTAATTGTCGTAAATGCTGAAGTATACATTCATTCATGACTAGAGTTACCATCTTCCCTAGGTTTTAACATACAGAATAGCTGTTACTGAGCCTAGTAAAACTGATTACTCTTAAATATATCGATCATATTAATTTGAGATTCTGTTAAAGGCCCATTTGCTCTAATTGTAACATACCAATTTGCTGTAAACTAGCTAGCTGATGATGAGATCTAGGAGCCACTTAAATAAAATTAACATTAGAGACCAAGTTTATGTTTTATTACAGTTCAAGAGGATCATTGGTTCTAAATTTGTGATGAGTGTATAACCATTGACCATTAGATTTTAAACCTTGGCAAAGCTGCTTTTCTTTGGGTTTCCTTCCCTGTAAAATAGAGGGATTAGGCTCAATCAAATGTTGTTCTTAAGATTTATCTGGCTTTCTGTATTACTTGTTCTTGAAAAGCTGTTCTTTTCACAATATTTTAAATGCACCAAAACATCCAATTTACTTGACAATTTTTATCAAGCTTTCTTAAAATGAACACCTATATATTTAAACCCATCTCTGAGATATGTGATATATATATATATATGCTTTAGGTGGGATATATAACTGGTACATTTGATTAAAATGTCTGGAAAAATGTAAAGATGATTAAGTTAAAGTTCTTCTTTAGTACTTCTAAGATATAGGAGTTACATACACCAGTAACTATTTTCTAAAGATTAGTGTTAACCATCCAAACTGTACCAGGTTGGTATGCACAAAGGCCAAGTATCAAAGTTTCTGGGGTTATTCTAGCTGTGGCTAAAAACTGATCATTAAATCATTACATATGTGGGGAGGGATGAGATTTTCATATAAGTGGAAGGTATTTTATTAATTGATCAGTTCCATCTTTTCACCTCTAGTTGAGGAAGCTGATGTGTAAGTAACTTGACAAGGACATAGCCCTAATTAGTGTTGGTTAAGAAAGCCCAGTTGATTGCTAATTCCTCTACACTGTACTGTCTTATAGATCCACAGGACAAGTGATGCTCTGAGTGTGTGGAAATCTAAAAGGAATATAAATCTTTAAGGGACATTACATAGTCCACATAATTCAACTTTTCTTTTAATCTGGCATTTCTTTTGTAGCACTGTGACAAGTATGGGTTTCTGCTCTGCTCCAGTGTTTAAGATACTCATTCTCAGGAGGCAGTCCCTCTTTTGATAAACCACCATTAAGTTCTTACTGAGGTTTTTATCTGTCATTTTACAACTTTCACCTAGTTCTACTAAGTCAAAAAGAGTAAATTGAACAAGAGTAAAGTACTTGCCTCCCAAGTATTTTAAGATGGCTATCATTCCTTGGTGACAATCCTTCAGTTAGTTTTCCGGTTTCAGTTTAGGGGACTCTTTCCAAATTAGTAACATCTTAGTATCAGCTCTAATGTGTGAATATCCCTTCACTGCATCCTCTCACAAAATACTACAGATGTAGTTTGACCAATACTTCATTTCCTCATGAATTTAGAACCTAAGATCAGTTTCAAAAGCTCACATTTTACCCACTGCAAGCTAAAATTTCTGTATTTTTTTCAACAAATGGTTTCATATTTCTATAGATGGTTTTCTGTTGCATCTAGGTCAACAATTTGGGCCCATGATACTACGTATGATTGTGCCCCTAACTAGCTAGCTTGTAAGCTTCATCCCTATACCATCCTTTCCCCTTGACCTTTGGCTAAGCTTCCACATTCTGTCCCCCTTAGCCTGGAATGTTTCCCCTGGGCCATCAAGATTTAGTCATTTCTTAGTAGGCCTTCAAAGTTAAGTTCAAATACCACTTCTTTGTGGGAATCTTATTTGCCCTTTCCCCATGTTTCCCTCCCCAAGAACAGTTTACCTGTACCACCACCCTACAAATCTCCTTCAGTCCTTATCCAAATACTACTGTACTGGCGCCATGAGGCATCTGTCTCTTCAGCTATACTGTGTAATCAATGAGGACATGGCTGATGTCTACCTTTATCTGGCATAGGGTTTTGCATGATTTAGACATTCAATTAATATTTGTTGAATGAATTAACAATTGGATACTGGGACAAGGAAAAGTGAGTGCTTTTTGAAAGAACTTAAAGGGACAGGGTCCCCACAGCTGAACAATTGGATACTGGATTAGTATGATCAATTACTTTGATTTTCCATGGTAACAAAAGAAACAGCTAAATTCTGGGGGGTGTGTTGTACAAAGAAAAAAGTGTATAGGATTCAAGACAATTGCAAGAAAAATCTCTCTAAAGCAAAGAAGCAATGATCAAATTTAGAAACCACTGAACTATGTCCTATAAGGAGTAAATGTAATTTTTTTTACTCTTTATAGTGGGTGGACAGCATGGAAGAAGGCAGACAAGCACAGCTGAGTGATATATTTGTTGTTTTACTGTTAATTTGACACATCTGAACCAAAGCATTCACAATACTTGATATACTTTGAAGAGAATCATATACTAGTCTTAGACATAACCACAGAACAAGCAGAACAATTAAAACTATATAAGGCCTTAAAATATATCCACAGTGTGTATTATTCAATATTCATTCATTTACAAATTAGACTACATACCATTAATTTTATTTTTATTTTTCTTTCATTGTTTATTCAGGCAGGATTCATTCAAGGGAAGGCAACTTAGTTTTTGTATGTGAGCTTTATTTTTTACTACATTGGTTAATATAAAAGTTATGATTTAAATGTTTTCTTATCTCCTAAATCCAGAGGTGAATTCACGTAATTGTCAGCCATCCATAACAACAGGTCCTATTCTTAAAAATAGCCAAAGTGGAAGGGACCAAATAGTAGTCTGTGGTCTTGATGAACAGCTATTGGATTTCAGGTTTCCTTTTAATGAAGAGTACTGCAATTCTACAAGTCAAAATTTAAAACATTGCATACAAAATCATTCTTGAAGCTCTAAATGTCTTTTAAATAAGTATACTGAAAAGTTTAAGTAGTTGCCTCATAGTACCAAACTTATAAATGAAAACTAGTTAAAATTCAGTGCTATCATGATTTCTCATTTACAAGGTAACTAGTTGAGAAATTAACAGATGGCTTAAAAAATTTCAGACATTATTTTTCTTTAAAGAGAACTGTGTGACAATCAGGGAATACAGAAAATTCAATGTATCTTACAATGACCTTTAAACCTCTATCCCTGTACAACAGGGGCTAGGTCATCTCTAGTGAACTTGCATGTTTTCATACAGTTTATTCTATTTTGAGTACTTGAATTATTTTAGATATAGAGCTTTTTATTGAAAGAATATTACATTTCTATACCAGGATAAGATTTAGTACATTGAGATATTTTAAAAATATTTATAAATTTGTTTGATATGCAAAAGCATTTGGTAATACTTTTACAGCATTTGATTTCATAGAATTAAAATTTCATACAGTACTCATCTTGATGTTTAAAAAAAAATTCACAGAAAAAATATAAATTACATAGCCTGACTGCAGGATATTGTCATTTCCAGTTTCTAGTTTTGGTAATTAAAACCTTCATTAAGTCTGTTAACAAACCATTACCTGTACATTATGAAGGCAACTGACATGATTTGAAAACAAAACCTTCAGGTTTTATGTTTTTTATCAAAGAGTGCAGTTCAGCAAGAAAAGAAAACCCAGTATGCAAATATACAGAATTTACAAATTTACCAGTTCCTGTGACACAAATTGTTTCAATCTTTCAAGGTACTGTCCATAAAGTTCCACATCATTGTGACCTGCCCCTTCAACCCACAAAGGCTCCACAGGTCTTTGGCAACGCTCAAACAACGCGAGGCCATGTGAAAAGTCAATGACTTCATCTTCAGTCCCATGAATTATTAATACTGGAGAGGTTATCTTAGAGATTTTGTCAATGCTGTAGGGAAAAAGGAGGGCAGAAAGTCATTGAGTTGACTATGAAAAGGAATATACAACAAATTTTCTTGTGCTAGACCAGACAGATGATTTAAATAACACAACTGTCTTTGAATCAACTCAGAAGGATTAGAAACAAGTCAAATGAGATTCAAGCCACCTTTGCATACTCACTACCTTGAGATTATCTAAATTAACCTCATGCATGTCTGCTCTGAGGCATCACTCGGTGGTTACTGTCATCCTAGTGGACCTTTCTACACACAGTGTTGATGCTTAGCACACGAGAGGAGGAAAATGGCTATTTTAAGTATGGGCTGACTTCATACCTCTCGGCATGTTGTTTTTGTCTCTCTTCTAATCTAGTAAAATGACACTTTTTTTAGTTTTAGGGTGCTAACTTACCAAAATAATGAGAATATGATACAACAAAATTCTGGAACTAGTAGGCATATTAATGTGAGCAGATGAAAAATACAGGAGAAAAAACAATTTTAAGAGAATAGAAAGTAAAGTGAAGAAACAACCCAATTTATATCACAGAACTGGCTAAGAATTGACATGGGGATGAAAATGGATTGAAATTCATACAGAATTTGTTTAAAGGCTGTTAAGAAATATTTAAGTGCATACTCCCAACCCTGTTGTTCCTTCTTTTGTAACTGGTAACTGATTGCAACCCAAAGCTGCACAGTTTGCCGGTTAGGGTTTTGCCAGACACAGACTAGGGCAGAAGTAATAGAGACCCAGTAAACATATATATACTGGCTATTATGAACCTACTTTCTCTACTGGCTCCCAGAATGCTGACAGCCAGGCCTTCATCCTGGAAGTGGGAGTTTTAGAAAGATTCTTCTTTGGAGACTATATCCACTTTGAGAGCAGAGATACATGAATACTGACATGGGAGGTGGTGGGGAGCCCTAACCAACTGGCTTGACTATACAGAGAAGCTCACAGTTAACCAGCCTTCATCACCTGCTGCAGATCAGCTCTTGCATTTTTCACTCTTACATACGAGCAGACAACCAAAGATCAACAGACACCAGAGAAGAACACTGATTAACTATAAGACAGAGATTTAAAGAAAAAAATTAAAAAATGGCAACTCAGGAGACAAACTATACAGAAATCTTATAAATTCCTTTTTTTAATTAAAAAACTTTTTCATTAATTAAAGTGTAGTTGATATACAGTATTTATGCATTTGTCATACAACATGATTCACCAATTATTACAAAATGCTGTGATGTGTAGTTACCATCTGTCACCATAGTTATCAGAATTCTATTGATCATATTCCCTATGCTGTACTTGTTGTGATCACCATGGATTCATAATTGGAAGTTTGTACTCTTTAGCACCCTTTTCCTCCACTGCCATGGCAGCCACCCATTTATTCTCTGTATTTATGAGTCTATTTCTTTAATTTTTAAAAGATTCTACATAAGTGAAATCATATGGTATTTCTTGTTTACTTCACTTAGCATAGTACCTTCTACATCCATCCATGTTGTTGCAAATGGCAACATTTTATTATTTTTTAAAAAACTGAATAGCTGAGTAACAAGTAACTCTAAATAAAAAATTCTTACAAGTAAGTTATTACAACCAAAAAATGAACTAGCATCTTAAAAAGGAGGAAAATCATCAAATGAAATAACTCAAAGCTGTATTTGGTAAGTGAAAAAATGCTTGGGTGTATTATCTGTGAAATGTTCAACAGCAGAGAACTGAAAAAATAAAAAGAAATGTATGATCTTTTCCCAATAGTTTACTGTTAGTGCTGCCCTCTCTGTTGGTGAGCAGAAATCAAAGACGGAATCAAGTAGATTTGTGAAATGTCAATAGCATTATTTCAAACAACCTATCATTCCTTCCATCCAGGTAGACAGAAGCAATGTAATCAATGTACTTTCTAATCTAACATTATCTAAAAAACAAATCCAAATCAATGTAAACACCAAAGCCTCCCACAGCCTGCTCTGGTGATAAGAGCATATACTCCCATGATCTTTCCTAGAGAGTGACCCCTTGCTGGCTAATGATAAAATTTGTTTTGGTAATGATTCTTGTTCTTAAGACCCAAGTGATGGCTTAGCCTTTGGCCCACCTATCATTCACAAAAAATCCATGTATTGCTGCCAATTGGAGAAAAGATTGAAATTTGCCAGTTTCTCCTCCTTGCCCTCTTCCTTTATTGGAGAGAAATAGGCCATCAATTTTTTCCAGTTATGTAGAGGAGCTGGTAGAATTTTTGAAGCATAAGATGCCTTTCTTTCAAATGTGTCAAATGTTTACAGATTTTAAGGTGGCAATACTTTTTCTAGTTCATTTAAGACTTAACTTTTTGGCAATTCACTTTTGTAAAGCAGGCATCATTATTAATTAGGTACCATTTATGTGCACACGTCTCATTTTTCCTCTACTTATTCCCTTCATCCAGTATTATGTATCCCACTGAATCATACCATCATCCATTAACAGCTCAAGTCAGAAACCTGGGAATTATATTTAGTTTCTTTGTTTAGCATCCTAGATCTAGTCTGATACTCTTTTCTCAAATTCATTCTCTGCTTTCCAATATGAGTGCCACTGTCAGGCCTTCAGCACTTTTCACCTGGTTACTATTTCTCAAATATTTCAGCCTTCTGTCACCACCCTCTTCACAAATTAATTTTTTGCAATTCCTATAATATATGCAAAATAGCTCATGCAAGAGTTGTATCATGAATACCGTATTAAGTGATTGAAAAAATTACCTCAGAAGTTACATCTAACTATTTTGAATATTGATACTTACTTGGGGAATGCATCAAAACAGTAGGTCTTCTTGGTATCAGGAAAAGCAACTCGCATTCCAGAGGTCAAAGGAGAATGAAGAATAACAGCAGCACTCTCATATCGAGCAGCAAGGTCCACAGAGGGTACTGTCCCTATACTCTGGCCATATATGATCACATTTTCGGGGCGAATGCCATATCTATAAAGTTCAGAAGTTAATAAAGTTGGAAAGCTGGACTGGCAGGAAATGTTTAATCATTCCTAAGGACTTAACCTAGTAATAACGACTTAGAATGTCAACACATTCATGTTTTAAAACTGAAGTTTCTTAATCATTAGTGTCATATTTAATACTAACAATGAATGAAATTCATACAGAATTTGTTTAAAGGCTGTTAAGAAATATTTAAGTGCATACTCCCAACCCTGTTGTTCCTTCTTTTGTAACTGGTAACTGATTGCAACCCAAAGCTGCACAGTTTGCCGGTTAGGGTTTTGCCAGACACAGACTAGGGCAGAAGTAATAGAGACCCAGTAAACATATATATACTGGCTATTATGAACCTACTTTCTCTACTGGCTCCCAGAATGCTGACAGCCAGGCCTTCATCCTGGAAGTGGGAGTTTTAGAAAGATTCTTCTTTGGAGACTATATCCACTTTGAGAGCAGAGATACATGAATACTGACATGGGAGGTGGTGGGGAGCCCTAACCAACTGGCTTGACTATACAGAGAAGCTCACAGTTAACCAGCCTTCATCACCTGCTGCAGATCAGCTCTTGCATTTTTCACTCTTACATACGAGCAGACAACCAAAGATCAACAGACACCAGAGAAGAACACTGATTAACTATAAGACAGAGATTTAAAGAAAAAAATTAAAAAATGGCAACTCAGGAGACAAACTATACAGAAATCTTATAAATTCCTTTTTTTAATTAAAAAACTTTTTCATTAATTAAAGTGTAGTTGATATACAGTATTTATGCATTTGTCATACAACATGATTCACCAATTATTACAAAATGCTGTGATGTGTAGTTACCATCTGTCACCATAGTTATCAGAATTCTATTGATCATATTCCCTATGCTGTACTTGTTGTGATCACCATGGATTCATAATTGGAAGTTTGTACTCTTTAGCACCCTTTTCCTCCACTGCCATGGCAGCCACCCATTTATTCTCTGTATTTATGAGTCTATTTCTTTAATTTTTAAAAGATTCTACATAAGTGAAATCATATGGTATTTCTTGTTTACTTCACTTAGCATAGTACCTTCTACATCCATCCATGTTGTTGCAAATGGCAACATTTTATTATTTTTTAAAAAACTGAATAGCTGAGTAACAAGTAACTCTAAATAAAAAATTCTTACAAGTAAGTTATTACAACCAAAAAATGAACTAGCATCTTAAAAAGGAGGAAAATCATCAAATGAAATAACTCAAAGCTGTATTTGGTAAGTGAAAAAATGCTTGGGTGTATTATCTGTGAAATGTTCAACAGCAGAGAACTGAAAAAATAAAAAGAAATGTATGATCTTTTCCCAATAGTTTACTGTTAGTGCTGCCCTCTCTGTTGGTGAGCAGAAATCAAAGACGGAATCAAGTAGATTTGTGAAATGTCAATAGCATTATTTCAAACAACCTATCATTCCTTCCATCCAGGTAGACAGAAGCAATGTAATCAATGTACTTTCTAATCTAACATTATCTAAAAAACAAATCCAAATCAATGTAAACACCAAAGCCTCCCACAGCCTGCTCTGGTGATAAGAGCATATACTCCCATGATCTTTCCTAGAGAGTGACCCCTTGCTGGCTAATGATAAAATTTGTTTTGGTAATGATTCTTGTTCTTAAGACCCAAGTGATGGCTTAGCCTTTGGCCCACCTATCATTCACAAAAAATCCATGTATTGCTGCCAATTGGAGAAAAGATGGAAATTTGCCAGTTTCTCCTCCTTGCCCTCTTCCTTTATTGGAGAGAAATAGGCCATCAATTTTTTCCAGTTATGTAGAGGAGCTGGTAGAATTTTTGAAGCATAAGATGCCTTTCTTTCAAATGTGTCAAATGTTTACAGATTTTAAGGTGGCAATACTTTTTCTAGTTCATTTAAGACTTAACTTTTTGGCAATTCACTTTTGTAAAGCAGGCATCATTATTAATTAGGTACCATTTATGTGCACACGTCTCATTTTTCCTCTACTTATTCCCTTCATCCAGTATTATGTATCCCACTGAATCATACCATCATCCATTAACAGCTCAAGTCAGAAACCTGGGAATTATATTTAGTTTCTTTGTTTAGCATCCTAGATCTAGTCTGATACTCTTTTCTCAAATTCATTCTCTGCTTTCCAATATGAGTGCCACTGTCAGGCCTTCAGCACTTTTCACCTGGTTACTATTTCTCAAATATTTCAGCCTTCTGTCACCACCCTCTTCACAAATTAATTTTTTGCAATTCCTATAATATATGCAAAATAGCTCATGCAAGAGTTGTATCATGAATACCGTATTAAGTGATTGAAAAAATTACCTCAGAAGTTACATCTAACTATTTTGAATATTGATACTTACTTGGGGAATGCATCAAAACAGTAGGTCTTCTTGGTATCAGGAAAAGCAACTCGCATTCCAGAGGTCAAAGGAGAATGAAGAATAACAGCAGCACTCTCATATCGAGCAGCAAGGTCCACAGAGGGTACTGTCCCTATACTCTGGCCATATATGATCACATTTTCGGGGCGAATGCCATATCTATAAAGTTCAGAAGTTAATAAAGTTGGAAAGCTGGACTGGCAGGAAATGTTTAATCATTCCTAAGGACTTAACCTAGTAATAACGACTTAGAATGTCAACACATTCATGTTTTAAAACTGAAGTTTCTTAATCATTAGTGTCATATTTAATACTAACAATGAGATCTATATTCTTGGCTTATTTCATCTGCTCCAATTTCATCTTTTAGAGAAATGAACTGATTAAATCATTTATGCAACTCTACCTAGTACACTGATTACTACATTTGGAATTTGTTCTATCACTAATATTTTAATGGACTGATGTCTATGGAATATTAAATGTATTTTTTATTCAATATAACTAAAGTTCTCTATTTCTTCAAACTCCAAAAGTGGCTCATTTTATTTTCTAAGTTGGTCATAATGATAAAAATGCTATATATACTTATGGTATAGAATAAATAAAATATATCAATATTTCCAGCTAAGAGCATCACTATTTTTCTTGCCAATTTTCTTTGCTAACTCAGAAAAGTGGACTAAGGAAAAAGATAAACTAATGAATGTGAATTCCAAATGCTATATAGTTAATTAGGAACAGACTTCATGCTAAATCCTAAGACTAATTGCTTTACTCTTTAAAAAGAGTTCAGATTATGTGAGCTCGTTTACTCAGTAATATTGGTACATATTATGTTCCAGATACTGCTATCTGTCTCCAGTACAACTGTCCCAATTGTAAAATACTTCCTACAAGTTAAGTGAGGTGCTATAGGGGTTAATGACTGTGGGGTTAGAGTGCCTTTATGCCTTTCCATGTTGGAAGACTGACATTACAGCAGTCACTTCTAGATGTTCAGGGCCATTTACACAAGACCTTCTAGTGTTTTGAAAAGGTAATAAAAGTCTTATCTGAACATTCACTAAAAAGAACAAGACAAGCCCATTGCGCTTCCTGTGGCGTTTCCAAGGGCTAAAGGACTATTGGAACTATCATGGAGTGACATACCTTCTCATAGTTTCTTCCACTCAGTCCTACAGAAAGAATCCTTTTCTTTGGTTTATATCCCAGAGACACTGGGTTCCATCTGCAGACTGACTCCTTTATGTTAAGTAAACTCAGAAAGCTTTTTTCTTTATAACAGACCTAGCTGCACATACTTCATAGGGATGAAGAAATCAGAAAAATGAAAATTTCAACATCAGTGGAACTTTGGATGCTGCGTGGTTGCTGTTAGTTGAATAGCAGCACTGTTGATGCCAACTATGGGTTTTAAGCTTAAGCTAAAGGTAACAATGGCAAGGCTCCATAGCTGCAGAAGCAGTTGCCAATTTAGCATCAGAGGGCTCAAAGCAAAAGGAGAATTTCAGAACAGTAAAATTAGAAAGGACTTTTAGAGACCATCTAATAAATACATTTCAGCTGCTTGGTGAGCAGATGTTCAAAGTCACAGTAAGTTAGTGACAGACCTGTAACTATAATCCAGGTGCCCTGATGCCCAGTCCAGGGCTTTTTCCATTATAACACACAGTTAATGAGCTCAAAGACTGTGGGGAAAGACTGCACAGTGAACATTAGTCTCTTATTTTCTGCTGATTCGTCAGAAGTTAAAAAATTGAATTATTATAGTCACTTTTTCTGAAAAGGCAATCATTCAAATAATAAAGGCCAGTATTTGTTTTTCTCCTCCTGTTTACTTAAGCCCTAACTTTTTATATTAATCAAGTGAAGAAAATAAAAGCATGAATTCTAATTACACACATTTTTAAATGACAAAATTTCAGCACAGGAAAGGGTCTTGGTGATCACTTAATCCAACCTCCTCATTAAACGTATGAGGAAACAGAGGCTCAGAGAAATCAAATAAATCCTCAAAGATAATCTATACCTACTCACTCTTCTCACCGTATTTAGGGTTCACTATGAGGTAAAATGTAAGTCCCCAATTCTATGCTAAACTAGTACATGGGTCTACTTAGAAATTTATTTTGCTTTTGCTTCTCATTCATACTGGTCATCAAATGTGTTTAAAAAGATTAATTAATCAAATTGGTATCTGAAAATGATAAGATTTAAAACAATTTAATATAGCTGACCACTTCCAAGAGGTTTTTATACATTAATATGCAATACTGAAATGGATACTGTTGTTTGAATAGTTATCTTTTCATAGTACTTAAGAGCACTAATAATAAAGGATATCTGCTTTAACTTCACACCCTTAAAAACTACTAATACACTGAAGTTACACTTTTAAGGTATTGTCTTTATATAAGAGTTTGCTACAAGAGTATAGTGCTGCTGTTCTATTGATCTTGAAAGGGTAAAGGTCTCATCTACTAACAAAATTGAGGTGGTTCTCCCTAACTGACTGAAGCCATTACTATTTAAGCATTAAATTAGTAATCGTAAGTTAGTTTTCCTTATGTCCTCTGGCTTCAGTCTAACTAAACTCTTCATTGTAAGTATAGATACCTTTCTAGTTATTATATACTGATGAAAAAATAAACTGCAGTCTATAAAATTGCAAAACTTTAAAGAAAAATTTAAGTATCTTCTAGTTCCCAAAAATGTGCTGCTATAACCAAAGAAATTGATACAAGATAATCTGCCTAAAATAATTATCATAACACTACTTGTTTTTAGTGGCAATCATCTCTCCAAATTTAATGAGTCTCAAATGCAAAGTAAAATCTCTCCTACAGAGTGAGTACTATAGAAACAGTTCCCATAAGGTATCTTTAAATCTTTAAGTCATACCTTCTGAGACATAACATAAAATAATGCAAACTCTGGCTTAAGATTTTAACAAAAATAAACCAGCCTCTTATATTACTAATGATAATATGAACGGTAAGCTGAATTACTGTTTTCTATCACACTCCTGACATGTTGCAACTTTCAACAAACATTTTTATACCATGGTTATGTCTCAAACAAAACCAACAAAATTGGCTTAAAGAATATCATACATTTATATTTTTTAAAATAATCACATATGCACTGACACAAACACAAAAACTTGTCTTAAAAAACTATTACAATCTAAAAGTTTAACTCTTCATAGGTATACAATAGTAAATATAACCTCTACTTAGTACTTCAGGATGTGTTATAAAAACTGCTTTTAATCTATATTCCTATACAAGACAATTTTAGCTAACTGACATAGATGTGCAAAATAATTCCTGATCACCATTTACCTTGTCCTAAGAGCAAGCCAAGCAGCTTCTATGTCTGCATAGAGGTTCTTCTCTGTTGGTTTCCCAGAACTTGCACCATATCCAGAATAATCATATGAGAATATGTTACAATTAATCCTTGATCCCAGTCCTATGTAAAAGCTGCTCATCTGACCAAGATCAACAGCATTTCCATGTGAGAAGAGTAACGTGTATTTGGCATTGGGTGAGCAACGCACAAACATGCAGGCAATTCTGTTGCCTTTACTGGTTCTAGTCATGAAACACTCAATAGCATCTTTTTCTCTAGAAGAGTATTGCCAGTCTGCTCGTTCTGATAGGTGTAAAGTCCAGCGGCTTCCACTTTCATCACACATCAGTGTGTAAGTTGGATCAGGTGGCAAAAACGCTAATTTTGAAGCAATTTTCCCTGGACAAGGTGGACAGCAGAAGAGGCAACATAGCTCACTAAATGAAAGATTATTCATCTTCTGAAAAAGAAAAGGAGATAGTAAATGTTTTAATAACCGTGTGGATTCTGCATTCTCAAACAATAGGTTAAAACAAAAACAGTGGTAAATTCTACTGGTGGTCAGTATCTATTACTTCTATTATTTCAAGTATTCTCCCCAAAGAGATTTGTAGCATTTTTTAAGAAATACTTTGAATTCTGGGGTGAGGTGAATATTCCTCAACATGAGACAGACTCAAATGCTATCTAGTATGTTTCAAATACTAGTGATTATAATATTTAACCAAAATATGAATAATACAAAGAGCAGAGGTAATTATTTCTCCACAGATAACAGGAGGTATAAAATATCTTTAGTGTGGTTTGTAATTTCTATGCAACACAGTGAAAATTCTTAGAATCACCTAGAAATAGATTAACATGATATAATAAATATATAATAGCATTCAGAAGATTTACTAATTCTTAGGCATTGTCCTAAAGTGTTCTATGTGTATTATGTTTAGTCCTAAAAGCAACCCTGTGTTCGTCTGAGAAGAGAAGACAGCAGGCTCAATCACTGTCCTATATTACTGGGCTACAGAACACATTTGTCTCAGAAGCCTAGCATTTTAGCCATATTATCAGTAGCCAAAATAACCTATAAACTGTTAAAATTTATTTATGTATGTAATTATTATTCAAATTAAAGTCCATTGGGAAAAAGGTGAAATCTGCTAAAGGTTAAGTTTCTAAATGGTTAGATGGGAAGGAGCATTAAGTTTTAAGTCACAGAGAACTGTAGTGGAATCCTAACAGTACCACTGACCTGCTGTGTGCTCTTGGGAAAATTATTTACCTTTGTGCTCATTGTCTTCTTAAGTAAACAAGGCCAGTGCCTACACTGAACAGAATGGTTGTGAAGAGCATATACAATGTTTTGGCTAAGGCATGTAATACAGTAATGGCTATACAGCTGGCACTCTTAAGAATGGTTCACCTTCTTCTATGCCTTTTTCATTAGTATTTTTAAAGTATCCAGGTCATATTAATTCAGAAGAAAAACAAAGCAATACTGTTTGCCTTGCCAGTATTTCCTTTGAGCTTGTCCTCTATCAAATCCTTAACCTTCCTTTTAACAGTAGTAGACCATTGCTTATTTTCAGGATGAATGCATTCAAAACAAGTACCTTCCAGAGGTTTGGTGGCACCTAATTTTCTCCAAAAAACCTACATATAAGGATAGGATAAAAATACACACCATTATACTAAAAATAAGAAGAAATGACTTCACATGACGAAAGAATAAAGAGTATGTGGAGTGAAAGGAATGCCTTTCAGTCACTCACTGAATCAAAATCTATATTGTGCAATATAATTGTGTTAATTTCCCAGCATAAATTAATTTGGAAGATAGAAAGCAGCAGCAGTAACTGCATAGACAGAGAAACAAGAGCAGGAGTGACATAAAAGGCTTTAAAATATGCTAACTGGCTCCCTGAACCGTTATGCTGTGGATTCTGAGAGCATGCCCAGGGATTTGGCAGGTAAAGAACATGTGATAAATTAGTTATGTCTACTATAGTTTTGGCCACAATTTATAATCCTTGTCAGGAAGACAAAGGACATGGTGAAGAAGATGGCAGGGAAGGTAGTTCAAAGAGTTGGTATCAAAGAAGGAGATGACCTGGAACAAGAAGATGAGGAGGAAAATACAGTATCAGCAATGCTCTGTTTGATAATCTGCCTATTGTTGGCCTGCAATTAGCTTACAAACCAACAATACCTGACCCTCAACAGCCTATTAAAAGCTTGATTAATAGGTAAACTGTATATAGTTAAGAGTATGCTCCTATAATTTACCTCTTAAACAAGATATTTATATACTGTAGTATAAAGGAATTGTGAATAAACCTGGCTGACTGAACATACACAGTGCTGCAGTGCCAGAGTCAAGCCTGATGAAAAAGACAACCCGAGCTTGACGGCGGCACAGGAAATCATACCCACACCCCTACTGCCTCAAACCCAGGTAACTGAAGTCCACCTAGTAACAAAAACTTGCCAATTTTCACTTTCCTACTATCAGGTCTGGTATAGGGCAGCAACATAGACATGCTTTAAAAAGTTGTTCTTTTCTGTAAGTGTGAAATGAAAAGCTTCACAACAAAAAGCATAAATAAAACAAATTTCAGTATGATGAGAGCTGAGAGAAAACATTTTATTCTTTTTTTAATTTTGCTATCATTAGTTTACAATTACATGAGGAACATTGTTTACTAGACTCCCCCCATCACCAAGTCCCCCCAACATACCCCATTACAGTCACTGTCCATCAGTGTAGTAAGATGCTATAGAATCACTACTTGTCTTCTCTGTGTTGCACGACTCTCCCTGTGCCCCCTCTTATTTCCCCGCCTTCTCACCTACCCTCCCCAGTCCCTTTCCCTTTGGTAACTGTTAGTCCACTCTTGGGTTCTGTGAGTCTGCTGCTGTTTTGTTTCTTCAGTTTTTTTCTTTGTTCTTATACTCCACAGATGAGTGAAATCATTTGATACTTCTCTTTTTCTGCTTGGCTTATTTCACTGAGCATTAATACCTCTAGCTCCATCCATGTTTGCTGCAAATGGTAGGATGTGTTTTCTTCTTAGGGCTGAATAATATTCCATTGTGCATATGTACCACATCTTCTGTATCCATTCATCTACTGATGGGCACTTAGGTTGCTTCCATTTCTGGCTATTGTAAATAGTACTGCAATAAACATAGGGGTGCATCTGTCTTTTTCAAACTGGGTCGCTGTATTCTTAGAGTAAATTCCTAGAAACGGAATTCCTGGGTCAAATGGTATTTCTATTTTGAGCTTTTTGAGGAACCTCCATACTGCTTTCCACAATGGTTGAACTAATTTACATTCCCACCAGCAGTGTAGGAATAAGTCCAATACATTTTTATATAAAATTTACCTGATAAAATGTTTCTTGACAACAAAATCTTGAAGAAACAAGGCAGTGAATAATTATATGGGGGGAAATGATAAAATATTAAAGTACACAAAAATCATTAAAGACAGACAATAAATTAAATAATTTATAGCAGAATTTCTGAACCAGACAAGGATTTATGTAAGTTAAAACAACCCATTTAAAGAAGAGAGAGAGAAAACTTAAACATGAAGTTGAAAAAAATGTCATGAAGAAAAATACAGCTGGAATCCTTGGTTTAAAGAGATACATTAAAAAAAAAATTAAAGAATACTTACTCTTAATAGTATGCTATGGGAGTCCAAGGGGAAAAAGAGGAAAAAAATGAAGACAGGATAACCTAAGAATCTCTTAAAATGAAATTGTTCAGAATATCAAAAGGTATTTAAGAAAACTCTCATGGCTAGACAAATTACAGCAAATATTAAAATTGCCAAAAATAAAAATTTGGAAGTTTCCAAATGGGAACAGATTACCTACAAAGAATTAGACGAACATGGGATTTTTCAACAGAAACACTAGAAATAACATATTAGAAGTGTAGTTCTAAAGTAAATACAAAATAAAAACTTTCAACCTAGTATTTTATGTAGAGATTAAAATATTACCTTAGTATGAGGAGATAAAGATAGCTGTAGCCATAAAAAAAAAAGCAAAAACAAAAAGCAGAAAGGTTTGTTTTCCAAACCAAGACCTTCTTTGAAACAAACTCCAGCAAGGAGGAAAATAAATCCAAGAGAATTCTATGGTATATCTGATACCATAAAAAGAGTAGGTAATATGATGTACTTTTTTTTGGTAAGCAAGCAATAGAGGAGAAGAAGAAAACAAAAAGGCAGCAAAGTATACCCCTAACAATCCAGAATCAAAACTTTGGAGAATACCAATAGACAGAGGATTGGTAGAGGAGATTACGTAGTACTTAAATGTGCAAATGTGCTGGGGCACTGGTTGCTTGACTTGTTCAGAATGGTATTCGTATTAATAAGCCTAAGATATGGGAAAAATAACAAACATAAAACAATGACTCTTAGTAAGTCAGATGTAACTACCATAAAAACTAGTTTGTAACATACAACTGAAGTAGTTTTAGTTATTCATTACAAATGTCTAGCTGTGAATATTTTTCAGTGTGTTAAACTTAAAAAGGAATGTAAGCACAAATAAATATGAGAAAGATACTATGGGGAGATATTAAGAAACTAGAGTACGAAAAACAATATAGAAATTGACAGACACAAAAACTGACTTTTAGGAAAGGCTTCCAAACCACAATAGTTAATTAACTGAGCATGTACTGTGCTCAGTTAACTGTTGCCTGGCACAGTCAGTTTCTAGTTGTGTCTAAGATTGTTTAGTGTTTAAACATGTTTCACATATTAACTTATTTAATCCTTCCAACAACCCTCTGATTTGGGGACTATCATTAACCCAAATACAAATGGTCAATGAACACATGAAATGATGTTCCATATCATTAGGGAAAGACCACAATTATATGACTTCATACCCACGAGATGGCTATAATTAAAACAGCAGGTAACAAGGGTTGACAAGGATATGGAGAAGTTGGAACTTTCATACACTGCTGTGGTGGCAAGTAGAACAGAGCAAGAAATTCAGGGAGGCAGTTTGGCAGTTCCTCGAAAAAACCCAGAGTTTACCCTTGACCAAGCAATTCTACCCATAGGTACACACCCAAGAGAAATGAAAACCTCTGTCCACGCAAAAAGATGCTTATGAGTGTTCACAGTGGCGTAATTCACAAGAGTCAAAAGGCAGAAATCACCTAAATGTCCATTAACTGCTGCATGAACAAAAGTGGTATATCCAAACAGTGGAATATTATTCAGTCATAAAAAATGACATATCGGTGGATGCTACAAAGTGGACAAAAAATTACACAAAGTGAAGGAAGCTAGACACACAGATAATTTAGTGTATGCTTCCAGTTAATAGAAGTTACCAGAATAGGATATAAAGACAGAAAGAGATCAGTGGTTGTCTAGGGCTGTGGGGGACAGGAGGGTTGGGGAGCATTGGCTAAAGACTATGG